TGAATTAATTTGTTCTCATTGATATGGTTGGGTTATCATCCACATACATCTATGTCTGCAGAGTTCAGGAAAACAAACATCATGAATATTAATTCTTTAGGAAATTAGATTTTTATTACACATGAGACAAGTTTTACTAACCACACACTTTCTAATTATTCAAATTAAATTTTAGTCTCTTAATACAACTTCTCCATTTCAGGGGATCTTGCATGTTTTCCATTTTATAGTTTGATTTTTATAATCAAGTTTTACAAAATAATGAGGAATAGACTTCTTTCACAAATGAAATAATGGAAGGATTAGGCCTCAGTGCCATAGTTTTAAATTCACAGATTAGAAAAAAAAACTGGCGTTTTAAATAATGGCTTAGTTGCAATTTCATTTTTAATATAGAAAAGTTTATTTCAAAGGCAGGAAGTCAAGTAAGGAATTATAATGGTTAGAAAAGGAAAATATTTTTTGTGTGTTTTGTAAACTCATTTCTGAATTCTGAAACTAGCATATTAATATCCTACTATCATATGAGGCACATTTTGTGCATAATAAACATCAACACTGACTTATTTGTATTCAAAAGCCAGATGTTGCAAAACTGGTCTGGCCACCTTCTAGGTTTCATAGTGGATACAAAACCAAAAACAAACCAAAAAATTTATACAACACAGTTCCTTTACTTAGGAGTTTATTGTTCTGTGGATTTGGCTATGCCACGTATCAGTTTTCCTGGTGTATGTAACACAACACAGCAGGATTTCCTGAGCAGAATTTTAAGTATATACGCGTCGTGCATATTTTGGTATGTCTTTAAATGAAATGTTTCCAGCTCTTTAAAAGCTTCCCCTCATCATTTTCAGATTTCAGCCAAAGAGCTTCTGTTTGGTCATTCAGCTTCAGTAATATGTGTGGCGCGAGCCAGAGACTTCTCTAAACAGCCCTATGTCGTTAGTGCTGCTGAAAATGGGTAGGTACGATGTGCGAAACTTTGTACACGTCTCCATGTCCTCCCTATTTGTAAAAACTGATGGGGCACAGAGTTCGAGGGTCAAAGGAAACCGTAGTGGTTCACATGTTCCTTTTGAACATAGATTTTGAGTGGTTGAGTCATTTGTGTGATGGTCCCGAGGAATGTAATCAGTGCTATGGCTCCCAATATCGAAACATCCCAGTGCGTGTGTAGCCTGCCTTCTGGCAGCCTCACTGTGCAAAGGACACTGGCAAATGCCAGCGATTATAGAATTGAAAGTGGAAAAGTCGGGGCGCTTGTCTTTTTTCATGTAGCAACTCACTTTGAGCTCTTAAGCAAACCCATCCAAGCCTTCGCCGTTCTGCGAAACAATTCAGTTGTTACAATCCTCATGTTGTACACTTGTCTGAAGTCATTATACAATGAACAGAGGAGAGGATTCAATCGTAAGTGGAATGGTGGGAGAGAGAAGGGAAAGGAACATAGACAGTGATTTGGGTCTAGGAGAAGCTAGCCCCCACTGATGAGTTATTTGCCAGAGTATCCTCAAGAGTGCAAAATGGAATTAGCATGCATTTGTGAATGAGGGATTGGGTTGCTGGTTGAAACAAGAGAACCCCTCCTTTTTTGGTTTTAATCCGAAGAGAAATTACATGGCTCTAATTTCTGACAACCAAAATAATGAGGAACCAAGGGTCCAACCTGGAGAAACTAAATAGTTTATGACAAAACAGCTAGAAGAACTAATATCTAAAAAGTACTTATTGACATAGCTTGTACCAAGGAAGTACCTATTCCCATGATTGTTATACTTAGAGAGATTGAATTTTGGACAAGGCTGAGTAAAGTGAAATGTCTTAGTACCTTCTTTTTTAACAGTTGCAAGTAATTCTCATACAGTAGGGCTGCCACAAAACCTGCTACACATACTGAAATATGTATTCCCACTCTAGAGAGTTTGGGTGTGTGTGTGAATTTTTCCTGAGTCTACTTGGAGAACTGAAAGAAATCATAGCTATGTGAGAAATAGATCTGAACTGTAACTGAGTTCCAGATTGAGGTTTTTGCCCACAGTGGTCTAGCTCCAAAAAAGAGTCTAGAGTTAATGGACATATTCTTGATGATTGATGAATTCAGCTGTATGAATCCTGTGAATATGATTATTAAACAGCCAAGGAGTCTAGTTTGGTCTTCCTTTTCCAATAGAATTTGAGTTTTCTAGACCTCTGTGTATTTGGTGTCCAAAACGTATCCTGCATCTATAATATATTTCTTAGAGCTACTGCATATTTAACATATTCTAATTTAATATCTTAGAAATTATGAAAATTACTAGACTTGGCCTATTATTTCCCAAACGACAATGATTTTGTATAGTTTTCAGAAGTCCTAGGGTATGGCTGGATGCTTAGCCTTTTTGCCTCCAAGATGATCAGAGGGGACATAAAATTGCCTCATTACCCAGTTTTTCATGTGTTTTCCCCCCTAAGTATTAAATGTATAAGCATAAATCCTAAGATTCACGAATCCCAGTAAATTCTGGGGTAAATGAAAGGAAATAGACAATTTGAGACCTGATTATGATACAATGGAGTGCCAAAGAGAGAGCGAGAATAAGAGAGAGAGAGAGAGAGAGAGAGAGAGAGAGAAGAGAGAGAAGATCCTAAAGTAGTCAGTGAGAAAAGGCATTGTTTAAAAAGGAATGCTAATTAAACTGAGCTGACTTCTCAACACTAAGTGAAAGTAGACACAGGGAAACATCTTCAGATGATATCTATCAATTTAGAAATATATCTCTAGCAAATATACCTTCAAAACACAGGGCAAAATAGTAACATTGAAGTCAAATACTAGTAAAACTTTCCTTCGCTGCCAACAGATGTTCTATAAGTAACAAAATTCTAAATTATCTTCTTGAGTAAGGACAGTGATTTCAGAAGGAAAATCCGAGATGGGAAAAGGAATATTGAACAAAAAAAGAGCAAATATTTTAAAAATGCAAATAAACATTAACTGTAAGACACAATAATATTTATTTACACTCCCCACCCCATCGCCTCACAGTCCTAATCAGCAGTTTCATACAATAGTGTAGTGATCAGATTCCAAGTGTTCTGGTATTTAGCAGTATGTGAAGATGTTGATTAACCTTAGACTTTAAGCCAGATGTACATGGTGACATTTCTAGGGTACCTGCTAAAAGAACAAACAAAAGAAATAAAAACAAAACAAATAGAATATATAACTTCCGACTTAAAAAAAGAAAAGAACATCATGTTGTTTAATCCAAACAAGACACAAATTAAATGGGACAAATAGAAAACACAAAAGAAGATAGTTGAAATAACTTGGAATAGAACAGCAATCTAAATTATGTAAAGGTTCTAAGCCCTTCAATTAAATTACAAAGATTGGCAGACAATTAAAAATAAAACACGAACCGGCATAAGGACATGGAGAAGTTAAGTGGAAGTGGATGGAAAAAATATTTATCAGATGAATAACTACCAAAATAAGGTTGATATAGTAGTATTAATATTTTGTGTTAATAAATATTTTATATTAACACATATTCCTTAGGGCAAAAAGTCTTGGTATTGATAAAGAGGGCTTTTGCATATCAGTAAAACTTTTAAGCACCAGCAAGAGATGAGACTAAAGAGATCGGCAAACATCCTCACTGGAGTTGCATCAGATTACCTGCACAGCTTTTTAACTAAAATGTGTGGGCCCCACCTTGGAGGAATGGGTTGAGGTTCAAGCATTTGCATTCTCTAATACCCTCCTGGACATTGCTGGAATATTCTAAGACATTGCTCATGCTGCCGGTTCAGAGAACAGATTTGGAGTAGAGAGGGCAGAAACATCAGCGTCACTAGGGGAGCTTTGCCTGATGCCCAGGCCTCAAGCCTGGACAATATGATTTAATTAGCCTGGCTTGATGTCTGGGTTGGGTCCCAGATATCAGTAATTTAAATATATATGTATGTGTGTGTGTGTGTGTGTGTGTGTGTGTGTATACACACACACATATATATATATATTATTGTATTCAGAGAGAGGGAGGGAGGGGGAAAGAGAGAAACATCAGTGATGAGAGAGAAATCATTAATCGACCGGCTCCCAAATCCCTCACTTGGGATCAAACCCGCAAGCTGAGCATGTGCCCTGACTGGAAATTGGACTCTGACCTCCTGGTTCATGGGCTGATGCTCAATCACAGAGCCACTCTGGCCAGGCCAGATATTAGTACTTTTGAAAACTCCCTGATAATTCTAATGGATAGCCAGAGTTGAGAACCACTGGTTTAGAGATAGACTTACCTAGGAACAGGTTAACTGACCAGGAGATGTTCAAAACTCCACGCCCTAGGACTCCAACACAGAATTACGAATTTAAAATTTCTGACAGTATTTTTTGAACTATTCCCAGAAGAATTGAGAACCATGCTGATAAACTCAAATTCCTTTAGAGATAAAAATTTTATATTGATGACTGCTTAAGATTCTATTTTTTTTCACTTTTGACATACATTTGTTTTTTTCGTTTTGTTTTGTTTGTTGTTTTTTTTTACCTTTGAAATACATTATTTCACTTTCCACCATTCTTTCAGTCTTTTTTTTCAGACACACACAGATACTCTCACTCATGACTCAAGTTATTTTGGGAATAAGGTTGGATATTAACAGAGATGAAAAAACATGAATATTTTCTTTCTAGAACATGGTTTCTTAACCTTAGTACTCATGACATTTGAACCACTAGAAAATTCTTTGTTGTGGGGATCATCTTCTGCATTCAGGATGTTTAGCAGCATTCTGGTCTTTCTCCACTAGATGCCAGCCGTGTGTCCTAAATTGTGACAACCCAAACTGTCTCTAAACGTTGCTAAATACCCTTTGTGGGGCTAAGTCACCCAGGTTGAAAATCACTGATTTAAAAATTGAGACATGGT